TAGTTCAGCATACCGGTGTGGTGGCAGGCTTATCGACACACTTATATTTACGCGATCGAACCCAAACACCTTATGGATAAAATCGGTTGCGAAAGCTGTATATCTACGTAATCCTATTTTGAACTGACACAATTTATATAAATCTGGCTGTTGAATTGCCTTCTCTCTCCAGCTAACGTCTCGAATATTGCTCATGTCTCAACATTTCTGAATATTCCAGTGATAATAAGAGGCAACGATGTTAGGAGCCCAACACATTCGCCATATGAAGCACCTCCCCCCATCTGTGAGCACGCTGAAAACAAACCCAGCTGAGACCTGGAATCTCTGCCCATCGCACCTCTCAGCCAACCTTAAGTATGCACTAGCACATTGTGGATAATGCTCAGCCTAGGGACAAACAAGCCACACTGAGTCGTCAGATTCTTTTTCAGGAGGGTTCTGCATTTGGGTTTTTATTTTAAGACTAGCTGTACTACCCGGCTTCGCCCGGGACTTGTATCCACCACGGCCGACCGCCTTTGTCTCCCCAGTGGCAATGTTAATACGCTACAGCAGTTACTCGTTTGAGGCAGAGTCGACCTAGGGGAGGTTCAAATAATCGTCACCGGTGGTGGCCGTGAGCGGGAATGGAACTGGGTTCGCCGGGTTGGTAGCGCAGCGTAGCGTTAAGCACTACACCCACCGCTCCTCACACACCACACACGCACAGACACACACACAGACACACACACAGACACACGCAGACACACACAGACAGACACACACACACAGACACACAGACAGCACGCTAACCACTACACTACCGCTCCCCACACACCACACACGCACACACACAGACACACACACAGACACACACACAGACACACACACACAGACACACACACACAGGCAGCACGCTAAGCACTACACTACTGTTCCCCCTACACAACACACGCGCGTCCATAGGTACACATACACGCGCTTGCTGCAGACACACACGACTTTCAGGGTGCGTACGGCAGTAAACGACTGAAATAATAAAGCGGCAATGCTGCGCAAGGAACGCCTTAGACCTGCAACACATTTGTGTAATGCGAGCGTAAACACACAAATACATACAAACACATACACAATACACACACACATACATGCAGACACACAGACAGACACATAACACACATACATACACAGAAACACATACACACACATACATAGACACACACATACATACACACAAGCACATGCACACACGTACATACACACATACATACAGACACGCAGACATACACATAAAGACATAGAAAAAAACCCACATACATACACACACACATACATACACACAAACACATACACACATACATACACACATACATATACACACACATACATACACACAGACATACACATAAACACATACACACATACACATGACCCGGCTTCGCCCGGGACTTGGATCCACGATGCCCGGCCGCCTTTGTCTCCCCAGTGACGATGTTCACACACGACAGCAGTTACGCGTTTGAGGCTGAGTGGACCTAGGGGAGGGCCAGGTCCGTTTCAAATAATCGTCAGCGGTGGTGGGCGTGAGTTGGAATCGAACTGGGGTCGCTCAACCAGCTTAATGACTATTTGTACAAAGAACATATAAAGAATCGATTATAATAAGCAGGCTACAGTCCACATTGTAGACTGCCAGTACACGCAGTCAGCATCATAAGCAGGCTAGAGTGTAGATGATAGAGTGGCAGTACGCTCACCGAGCTTAATAAGCAGGCTACAGTCTACATGATAGACTGGCAGTACGCTGACCCAGCTTAATGACTATTTGTACAGTGAACATTTAAGTAATCGATTGTTGGCGCGTTGGGTTTAAAAGTAATATTAATTGCACACATTGTGTTGGGGGTGGAGTGAAGAGTAGGAAAAACTTTGATGAATTTACCTCAGAGTGGCGTGGTGGGTGTCGAGGCCTAGTAGCGTGCAGAGCCTGCGGCCTCGCCAAAATTGTCCACCCGGCAGAGGCAGGGTACGGGTGGCGTGCCTTCCCCCCCCCTCAGCGCTCCAACAATACTGTGTAATGGCTATTATTTAATTATTTACGGAGCCTATTAAAGTGGCGAAGGCGTGGCTAGCCGTTGGCAGGGGCAACCGCCGTCCAATGAAACTGCAGCCCTTGGCGAAGGCGTCGCTAGCCGTTGGCAGGTCCAATGAAAGCGGAGAAGGCGTCGCTAGCCGTTGCCAGGGGCAACCGCCGTCCAATGAAAGTGCGTATGGTCCGAAATCCACACACACACACACACAGACGGACAGACAGACATGCACGATTTTATATATATAGATGTTTTCAGCCAATTTACGACGAGTGTTTATAATTACACATGTGGTAGGAAACGGGAGCAACCGGAGAAAACCCACGTATGCGAGGGGGCAACACTCTATCCCCATACAGATGGAGACAGATGGCGATTAGTCCACGTGCTGTACCGTCTTCCCCTGACGAGCCAGGGTATGGGACCTCGATGTAAACGTAAAGGGAGTTCACAACATCTGTGTGAACCACCAAATCTCGCTACCTCCACAGTTCTGGGTAACAGGCCACGTGCATAGTCATCACTGCCTGGCTTGGTGTCTGAGTGGAGTTTTAGTGGCTTATTTAAGTCTTGAGTGAAAAGGTAAATGACAGCTCTATGTAATGTAATCAATATCCACGGTGTAATACTTTACGTCCGTGGAATAGTGTGCGTGTTACCAAAGGTTCCAGTTTTGTTGCCAGAAAAAGGGGAAAAACCTATTCTTATGTTACAAATTGTTTCATTATTGATAATACCTGTGCTGAAATAAAGTTTGCAAAGTCATTCGCACTGAATGACTGGAATTTGTATTGTCACTATGAATATAGCAGGTGTTAGATTGGAAAACTGTGAGTTTTTTTAAAAACTCGTTTAGGGTAATCGTAATTCTCGCCTGAAATGGAAAGCTAATCCTTGTGCTGTAACCGTTTTAAAATTCAGTATACATACAGGGTAGTTCATACGTTAATTGCCCCAAGTGGGCAACATCCAAGCCTTGGATGGCGAAATATCATATGCCTCATCCCATATAGGACGGTCTTTTAGTGTAATGTCCACCACTGGCTATTATCGTAATCACGTGGTGTAATGCGGCAGTTTCTCTGTAAGCAAGCGTTTATATTTTATGGCACATAATGAGTTTTTACACGTTTTCAAATGAACAAAAACACAAGTTGCCTTTAAAAAAAAAATCTAATTTACCTTTATTAACTTAATGGCTTGCACATGTTTACGAGGGCAGTAGGAAATATTGCTTATATGTAGTTGTACCGCTGTAGCATGCTAAATTGAGATTCTACGTGGAATTAATTAGGAGGGGGGGGGGTGAAACACGCGTTTTAAGATACTTTAATTCCATATCGATTTGAAAATGCAATTATTTTCTTTGCAAGCTGTGCATAGTTAACGGTATCTTTAGAATGCAAGATAACCAGACCCACAACGAATGCATAATTTCTGCTTTAATTGAAAACAAAACCTCTCCTATGTTTCTTGAGTAATGAAAGATGAAAGTAGCGAACTCTCTTCGTGGAATGTCGTCATAATGGACCGATAAATAAATGTAATTTGAACAACAAACACGGGCCCAATTTCTTTCGGGGGTGGGGGGGGGGGACCGCTTGATTATTCCATAGCATGCGTGCGCATTATTAGCTTCAGTGACAGGACTATGCTAATCACATTCCCGTAATTAAAAGCAGGTGTTTGTATAATAAATCCAAGGATGGAGCATTCAAGGTACATTCAGGTGAGTGTGTTCAGCGTTCTTATGAATGTGCTTTATATTAAAGGACATTCTAAATTAAAATGATCATATTAAACGAGGGAGGCGGAAGGACATCGTTTTAAAGTTGAACAGTCAATTTCCCAAGTTTATTATACAAGTCATGCAGGATGAAGAGTATTTGTAGAATATACTCAACAGTGACTGGCTTTGCAATTTGAAAGCATCGACTACTTTATTGGTGAAAACCTATTAAAGGAAGATCTTAGCACAGCATGCTGCTGCTGCTGCTCATGATAAGTAAAAACAGACTGGATATAACAGGGATAGATAAATACAATTCTGCCAATTTTTTCCCATTAAAGTCAGAATGCAGCAGACATGAAAGGCATTACGTTTATCCACCCAGCCAGCACCTTGATATGTGCTGCCAAAACACCGAAACGCAATGTTCAACTGAAGAAAATCTTTCTTGGCATCAGACATTTTCATTTCTTCCAGCTGAATATAATTATCTTCAATGAATATCGCTACAAGCTGAAAACGGGAATCCATATTTTTTGGCGTATCACTCTGAACTGTTATATCATCCCTCAAATGTGAATGCTACCAGGTATACGTGAGTGTATATGTGGAGTGTGTGCATATGCATTGTTCACATTCCATTCAACAACGTTTAAAGTCATACTTGAAACATTGCAATAAGCATTGCCATCAACTCTGAGTTCAACAGTTATGCCTGCTGAACATACAACCTTTGTTGCAACTTTCTGAATTTAGAACCCAAAATCATAACTAAAGCTTAACACAAATTAGCATTGGGGGCTTTACTGACTTGAAAATCGACCGCACTTGCCAAAGCGAGTTGAAAGTTTTCAACAAAACCAATAACAACGTAAAGCCTATTTGAAAGCGGTAGTCGTAAACAAAAAAGTTAAGCGTGTGTCGACAAAGTTACTGGCAAGCAGTATGGGTCATGTGGAGGAGGAGGGGGGGGACCAGAGGGGATGAGCGAGAGAGCGGAGAAAGCGCATGACGGATGCATTCACAGTTGCACGCCTTTTTCGCAAGACACTCTTTGCTACCCGCGACTGCGTCGGGTCGCCGGGGGGGGGTGGTGGGGAAGAATCGGCCCGGGAAAAGTCGCGGCGGTGTGGGAGAGGAGAAGAGAAGAGATGAGAGAGAGAGAAGGAACAAAAAAACGACATTGTCAAAAAGTTTACCGCTTCATTTTTCATCGATCCCAAGGGAGACGGCGTGCGGTCAGTACAGCGGCGCAGATCACACGGATCGCGGGAGGTTGGGAGGAGATGCGCGCGGCGCGGTGGCCGGGCCAGGGAGAGCCGTGGGCCTCTGCTACTGCCGCCACCGTCGCTGCTGCTGCTGTTCCTGATGCTGCTGCTGCTGCTGTTCCTGATGCTGCTGCTGCTGTTGTTCCTGATGCTGCTGATGCTGCTGTGCGCGCACGGCCGAATCGCTCAAAGGCACCCCCGCCCGCACTGCTGGCACGCCGGGGGTGGTGGTGGGGGGGACGAGTTGGAGGGCGACCTGGGGGTGGTGGTGATGGAGGAGCAGTCGTTATCCTGCTCGTACCCTATTCCCCTCCCAACACCACCTCCTCCTCCTGCTGCTGCTGCTGCTTCGTCTTCTTCCCCCCCCTCCTCTTGTTTGTTTTCAGTGGCAGCCTCCCACGCGATCCGACAGGTTGCCTGCAGGAGCAGGACGAACGGGCGATGATGTGCTGGGAGTGCCCTTTGCCTGCCAGTTGAAGGCAGGGGGTGAGAGAGAGAAGCGTGGTGTGTGCGCGTGTTTGAGAGAGAGAGGAGTTAGGTGCTCGCTAACAGCACTTGCTCCAAGTCTGTTTAGGGTATAACGGGGTGGGGGGGGGGGATCTATGTCTTTGTTTTTGAGATCTGAGTGGCGGTGGTGGGGGGGGGGGGGGTTCAGTGCCGAGAACTGTGGGGATTTAGGAAGTTGTGGCGGTGGTGGTGGTGGGGTTGGGTAGGGCACAAGAAGGGTGATGGGATTTTGGTGCGGGTCTTGCTGCCCTGGCAACGCATGACTACAGGCAGCTGCGAGGTCCATTGTCCGTGGTGGAGGTCGTTCTCTCCACGGCCACAGCAAATGTGCCTGCCCCATTCAGTGCGCGCTATAACTGTGACAAGCAGATAAACAACCGTGCTGGATTTTTTTTCTATTTAAAGCTTTCGTGACTGCAGGGATTCATCTTCTTGGTTCTTTCGGTAAAGTCACGCAGAAGGGAAACAATAAAATAATAAAAACTAAACATAACAAAATTATTCTCACGACGTTTCGGCCACAATGCTAGCAGCCGTCCTCAGGTGAAGAAGAGGACGGCTGCTTGCGTTGTGGCCGAAACGTCGTGAGAATAATTTTGTTATGTTTTGTTTTTATTATTTAATTGTTTCTTTTCTGCGTGACTTTACCGAAAGAACCAAGAAGATGAACCGTGCTGGACTGTCAAATATATATATATATATACATTACGGTTATTCAGTTATCCGGAAAAGATTCCAATTTACAGATGTTACATATCTTGAAAACAATATATCTGTAAGTGATCAAAATACAAAAATATGTTTCCGGATTAAAAATGTAACCACCGTTTTAATCTTTCAATATATGTAGAATATATATTTATACTTACGCGATCTAACCCAAAAACCTTTTATGAATAAAATTGGTCGCGAAAGTTTACGTGTTAAACTGATGCATAGAACCGACTGCAATTTACACTTTGTCGAATTGGCAAGTTACAATACAACTTTACTTGTTTAAAACTATTGGGGTTTGTTTCGTCCATATGAAGGCCAGCGCATATCAGTCTTCACTAAAGTGCACCGTTGTTTTCAAACATGTTATTGCTGTGCTTCTTAGCCTTGTTCTTAATGATGCCATCACCACCTTTCCACAGTTCAATAGAGTGCCGCTGAAGCAAGACCAAACGCATGCCATTGTCACTGCATGTACTGAACCCGGCTAAGCACTCCTCTGTGTTGTTTCATTACAGGTCTTGGTTCCAATCCGTGATGTGCTTTGAATTATTGTTTACTCTCCCAGAGCTTCAAAGTGGTGTGTGCCAAGAACGGTATGAGTATTTATTTTATCCGCTAAGATGCCACTCGCACTGCTGCAAATGGAATTGTGGATGTTGACATTTCTTATTGTAAAACAAAGCTGGAACTTTGTCAAATAACCACGGGTGCTTCTCCCCTCCTGCTTGCGTCTCTGATTTTCCACACGAATATTACTACCGTGGAATTGAATAATGCCGTGTACCTCACATCTCGCAGGCCCCATTCGTGTCCACGTTGCTTTGAATTTTCATTGTTGGCACGCACTGCTTGGAAAAAAATAGTAAACCCATTGGGATTCATGGACTGTATATTTCCAAAAAAAAATCTCATCTGGTGCCTTTTGGACATTTGGAATATGTTTTGAGTGGCGATGTGCATGTGTACGTAGTAAACTGGTGTGCGTGCAAAGAAACGGATGCATCCATGGGCATAATACTCAAAAGTTCACACAGATGGGTCCACAAACCCATTTGCTGTGCTGGACTACCATGCCCAGGTCACCTAACAGCCCAGTGGAATGTCACCATCTGTACGATCCACAAAACCCGTGCCCCCCAAGTGGTGGATTACAGGTGTGCTGATCGTAAGTCTTCATTAATGTACCATTTATAATGGACCTGAAATGTAAGTCTTATACTCGAGCCCCTGCCCTGTAATTCACCAGCAGCCTCAACTTGAAATGCCTGTAGATTATGAGATACACCTGTAGACGAAGATAAAGATCCCCCATATATCTGACACAGGCTGCTGGAGCAAATGCTATGAGCGAACACCCTTGAAGGCTGGCATGGTGCACCAGGTACTATACTAATTTAAGGCTGAGTTTACCTAGGGGAGGCCCCGATATTCGTCACTCATGTTGGCCGTGTGCGGGAATTAAATTCAGATTGCCGGGTTCGTAGTGCTAACTGCTATGCCATCGCTCCCTGTATAAGCACACACGAAGACACACGGGCACGTACAAATGCAGCCCGAGCAAATAACGAAATCTTCAAACCTATAGGCTGCCCAAACATTGCATATTTATACGTGAAACAATCTTAGTGTTCCATCAGCCTCATCGAGTGCCAGCGTGCAAATTAACGCTGTTTGTCTCAGGCAACAGGTGCCACAAAATGTGCTGCACCTGATGGGCAAATGGACCACCTGTGACGATGGCGATCGCAGATTTTTTGCCAGTTCCGCTCGCTCACCCGCCAGCTCTCACGTCGATCACCTTGCTATTTCACACGTTGGGCCGGACTGGATGCGGGCCGGGCAGATGGCAGGGGATGCTGGCGGTGGAGAGGCTGTCATTAATCAGGGCAACCCTGTTCCCTGCTCATCCTTAGCTCCTCCTGCCCTGGGGTTTGGACAGAGACGGCTCGTTAGCATATCACTCGGCCGAAAACAACTCAATTCCGTTGGGCTCAAGAGGTAGCGCAAGTGCCCTGCGTGATGGCGGAACGCCGCGCGCAGTCAATGCGGGCACGCGCGCGTGATGATGGCCCTGGCGCACGATGGCTGAGTAATGGAAAAATAGCTGACGGGAGGTGGGAAAAGAAAAAAAAACTACGAAAAAACACTTTATATTTATCAAACGGATGACATTGTAGAAAGCAAGTTTTTGTTAGCAAAAAAAAAACTCGTGTAATTGGGATTGATATATATTTTAATAGGTTAAAAATTACATCGAATGCGATGGCTTTTCTGTGTCCGCGTTGGGCACTGCTCAGCATGACAGCACTTCCAAGGCTCATGCTGAAAGTGGTGGCGATCAGAGGTAACGCCTTCACAGCAGCCTGTAATTAAATGTAATTCGGTGTGGTGTGCGTTATCCCCTGCCTGTGCCTCAGCTTGAAAGAAGCCGGATTGCTTTGTTTATTAACGCTATCTTGCTTGGTGTTCTCATTTTGACGTGTTGTTACATACACAGTATACACATGCCATACTTAATTGCTGCATACCCACAAGCCCTCTTGCATTTCTGCACGCTATCTTCACCCCTTTTCTGTCCATACATATTTGTCACGATTTGTTTGAATTGATAAATTATATTTGCTTCATGCAGAGAAGCTGCATCACTCATTTACATTTATTTCCAACCAAAAAGCTTGCAGTTGTTTTCAACACTATTGCTAAGATTTAAACATTTCTTGGTCAGTTAGAACTGCTTTTAGATAGTAATTTAAACATCGCAATGTTTCTTTCCAAAGAAGTTGGTATAGAATTGCTTATAAGCCTTGTCACCTTAGGCAGAGGGAAATGGAACACCCATTTCAAACCTTTCGAAACAGTCTGCCTCAGCAGCAGACCATGCTTTCCCACCTGATGAAGGACGCTTGTGTTGCGCCCGAAACGTCGTGATTTATTTTATTTTATACCTACGTGACTTTACCGATAGAACCAACGAGTATAAAGGTTTACTTATTGTATATTCATGAGTGACAGGCTTGAAACGTGGATTGCTTTCTTTTATGGCCAGGTGAGAGCCCATTGGGATCATACAGAACATTCATTTTCAGGGTGGTATAGCCATTGAGACCACTTTCATTCAATGTAAGACACACTGTTTAACCATTACCACTGTTTGACAGACATTTAAGTTAGATCACTCTTCACTGCAGGAAAATAACATCACCTGAAAATGCACCCCATCTTGTCACCTGTCAGACTCTAAATGGGTTCGAGTCTGCTCCGCGACTTGGGTGGGTGACCACCAGGGGGGTTTCGAGGCGTCCTAGGCATGGGGTTCCCTGGTGCTCATAAGGTGCCAGTGCCGTCACACCCTTGTGCGCGTAGGGTAGGTAGGGGTGCAGCGCCCTGCTGAACAAGTGTTAAGACTCAGTGAGACTTTCCCAGGTGAATCCTTGACATTGTTGTTGTTGTTGTTGCTGCTGTGTCAGAGGTCGCAAACGGGTTTTGATTCCTTACCCGTACCCGGCCGCACCAGGGTCGCAAACGGGTACCCGTACCCGTACCCGGCCGTACCCGTACCCTACCCCAGTGGCGGCTCCTGCAAAATCTCTCAGGGGGGGCAAATGTCTGGATGATTGATAAGGATAAGGTCCACCCATGCAATGGATAAATTAACAGCTTAAGCATGTAAAGGCAACTTCACTTCTTCAATATTAATGAAAAATAAAGTGACTCTTACAATACATCTTGTTTGTTTCTATACTCACTATTAAAACAAACCACTCTAGTTTCTTTTATTAAAGATTCCACTAGGTGGCCACAAATTATATTGTTGGATGAAACGTGCTTACGTATGATGACGTAAGCACGTAATTTTATTATGTTTTATTTTTATTATTTTATTACTTCCCTTCTACGTGACTTTACCGAAAGAACCAATAAGATGAAGTCGTGAGAATTATTTTATTATTTTTATTTTTATTATTTTATTACTTCCCTTCTACGTGACTTTACCGAAAGAACCAATAAGATGAAGTCGTGAGAATTATTTTATTATTTTTATTTTTATTATTTTATTACTTCCCTTCTACGTGACTTTACCGAAAGAACCAAGAACAATTGCCCATCTGGTCGTCTGCGTTCCTTCAACGGAGGAGGGATGGCAAAACTTGCGCTAGCCCTCTCCCGAAGACCTCTCGTGGCTAGCAGACTTCGACATTGCCATTTTAGCTCCTGAGCCTATTGCCAGCATAGGCAAGCATAGAATTTGCGGTGCAATGCTTCAAACTGGCTCACGTGGATTGTGACACCGGT